CTCCTCCTCAAGTTATACTGACATCGAATATAGTGAAAGCAGGGGTTATACTGTGGGGGAGGGACATACAAAGCAACAAAGAGATAATCTTATAAGTGCATTAGAAACACATGCATGAAAGAAAAAAACATTAAGATACATATCTAAGGGTTCAATTTCCTGACATCACGTTATCTGACCTTTACGCATTTCTTATTTTTATATTGCAAAGTAGGAATTAGTTATTTATTGATGCTAAAGATCTATTAAAACTTGCAGGTAAATGGTGACAGTTGACAGATGACCTTCAAACAAAACAGTTGATTATTTTTCTACCTCCAAAAACAACAGACATTTTTGACAGCTGAGAAATAGTGACCAGGTGTTGAATTCATTATTTTTTCTTCTTAGAAGAATTAAAAAAAATTTTTTTTATTTTTATTTTTTGGGTCCAGTCATGGAGCCTGAACTCTGGGCCTGGGCGCTGTCCCTCAGCTCTTCAGCTCAAGGCTAGCGCTCTACCACTTGAGCCACAGTGCCACTTCCGTCTTTTTTCTTTTTGCTTATGTGGTGCTGAGGAATCAAACCAAGGGCATCATGCATGCAAGGCAAGCGCTTGACCACTGAGCCACATTCCCAGCCTGTTAGAAGAATTTGAAATGTAAAATTTAGGATACAGATTTTGTCTTTATGAGGCTCTTCAAGAGCTTTAAGGTAATACCAAGATCTCATAGCCAAACACTGATTTCTAATCATTAAATTTGTAAGGAAAAATGAGCAGTTCTGACCTCTATTTCTAGGTTGGCCTTCAACAACTATCCTCCTGATCTTAGTCTTTCAAATAGGTAGGATTATAGGTGTGAGCCACATATGTATGCCCTGATTAATTTTTTTAAGGTTTTAAAATTGTTATTATAAAGGTGATGTACAGAAGTGATGCAGTTACATAAATCAGGTAATGAGTATATTTTTTCTTGGATGATGTCACCCTTCCCTCGCTCTCTCCAAGATTTTCCCTCTCATCTCCACCCTCAAGTTGTATAGTTCATTTTCAATATATTGTCTAGTGAGTACCACTGCTGCATCTGTTCACTTTTTGTCCCTCCATTTCTGTGCTCCCCTTACCCATCCAAAGAGAGATAAATGAACAAAGACAAAAAGAAAAGAAAACAAAAATAACAACAAAGAAAAAAATCTCTTGTTTCCATTTTCTGGAGTTCATTTTGATAAATATTATTTTATATGATCACATGCACATAGGCATTATGCCTTTTTTTGTTCCTCTCATGAGAATATCCTCCTTTGCTCTCACAGTGTGTGAATGCCTAGAGTCCTGTGTAATTTATCATGTCCTAGTGTATTTTAGATCTAGCTTCCTCTCTGAGCTTGGCTTACCTCACTTAACATGATTTGTTCTTGGCCCATCTATTTCCCTGCAAATGACATAATATTATTCTTTCTAATGGCTGTGAAAAATTCCATCGTTTATTAGTTATTACATTTTTTGATCCATTTATCTTATAGGGTATCTGGGCTGCTTCCAAAATGTGGCTATTGTGAATAGTGCAGTAATGAATATGGATATGCAACTGTCTTTATTGTATCTTTGCTTGTGATGTTCTGGGTAGATGCCCAATAGAAATTATTTTTGTAAAATAAAAAAAAATAAAGCTGGATGTGCTGGCTTATACCTGTAAAGACCCTGAGTTCAAAACGCCAATATTGCAAAACTAAAAATAAGTAAAAATGAACTTATTTTCCTACATGTTTCCTTTTAAATAAAATACTTTATCAGTTAGATTCTATCTTTAAGGTAGTATATCATTGTCTTACACAGATAGAACTTTCTGATACTTGGACTTAAAACTCTGTATCTGACACTTTCACTCATTGGCTGGTGCTTTATCATCTGAGCCATGCCTCCGGTCCCTCAGCTAAATTCTTGAATGGCTGAAACAAGCTTTTATGTCAAGTGCATAAATAATGTATGGGTGACATTTTGTTCATTTGAGTGTTCAGTCACAGAATAGTAAAACTGAAAGGCATTGTAGAGATAATCCTTTTATTCAACAGAATTGAAGAGTACTTAATGCTTAAGGTTACATAATAAATGACAGAGTGGTTCTTTTTTTTTTTTTGTCGGTCGTGGGACTTGAACTCTGGGCCTGGGCGCTGTTCCTCAGCTCTTCAGCTCAAGGCAAACGCTCTACCACTTGAGCTACAGCACCACTTCCAGTTTTCTGGTGGTTTATTGGAGATAGGAGTCTCACGGTCTTTCCTGCCCGGGCTGGCTTTGAACCGCAATCCTCAGATCTCAGCCTCCTGAGTAGCTAGGATTACAGGCGTGAGCCACCAGCGCCCGGCTAACAGAGTGGTTCTTTTGGCTTCAACATGAGATTACACTGAGCTACCTTCCAAGTGGATATTTGGGAAAATTTAGATTATTGTGAAGATTATTGTGAACTTGTTTTAGGACTTCTATTTAACTTAATTAGATGAGTTTCTGCATTTCCAGAAATACTAAATGTTGTCTACTGATTCAATAGCAACTCTGTTAACAAAGATTCTTAGCATTTATTCTTCTGTATTTTAACCTGTTAAATTAGACCAACTAGCATTGCTAAAAATATTAGAATATTAGAAATATTTAGAATATTAAAACATTATAATAAAAATTTAAACAGTAGTTAAGAATTGCTAAATTTGACTTAGATTCAGCTACTTGTCATTTAATTTTAACCAATTATTGACATTTTCTTTCTTAGGCAGTCATTCAAGGGAATTTTCAAAAAGCGTCTGGTTGTATAATGCGATGTAAAGATATGTTGATGAGGCTCCCCAAAATGGTAAGTGAAATTTCCGTGTTTATTCTCCAACAGTTTATCAATATTGGGGTTCTTCATCATCCTCCCCCTGCAACGTTGCCAGCATTTGTTATTTCATTTCTTGATGATTGCCATTGTTTGGGGTAAGATGTAATCTCAACGATTTTTTAAAAAATGTTTAGTTATTTTAGATAGAGTTTCATTTTTTTTGTTGTGGTCCACCTACCTATGACCTTGTATGTAGCTTGGATTACAGACTTATTGATTGAGATTGGGTCTCACTCATTTCTTGCCTGGGGTGGCCTTCTGATCTCCACATTTGAGTAGCTGTGATTACTGGCGTCAGCCCCCATCCCTGGCCCTTATTGATGTTTTGACTATCACTTTCTTTATGGCTAAGGAGGTCGAACATTTCTTCATGTACTTATTAACCAGTTGCCTATTTATTAATTGGTTTGTTCATTTTGTGTTTAATTTTTTAGTTCTTTATATATGGGTTATTATTCCCCTCTTTTTAAATAGCTACAAGATCTCTCATTCTGTAGGTTTTCTCTTCTTTGTGACACTTGTTTACTTTGAAGTATAGAAGATTTTTATTTGTTGTAATGCTATTTCTTGATTCATTCTTTATTTCCTGAGGTATAGAATTCTTATTCAGAAAGTCATTCCCTATACCTATATTTTGAGGAGCTTTCCCTATGGCTTCTGGTAATAGTTTAAAAGTTTCAGATTTCATATTAAGGTCTTTGACTCATTTTGAGTCATCAATTGTTTAAGAGGCTATCTTTACTTCAATATATGTTTTGGGTACCTTTGTAAAAAGTCAGTTGACTCTAACTGTGAGGATATATTTCTCAATTGTCTATTCTATTCTGCTCCACTGGTGTATGAGTCTGTAATTGCTTATTATTTCCAGAATTTTTAAATTTATTTTGAATTTTCTACAGACTATTATGCCTTCTGCAAACACTTCTTCCCAATATGTATGCTCCATATTAAAAAATGCAATAGCATTTCTCTCTTTGTATCATAGGCTTGCCCTAAGTGCACTATCCTTCTGTCTATACCTCTTTATTTCTGGAATTTCAGATGTGTGCTGCTATACAGGGCTGCAAATATGAGTATTTTTACTTCCTTCTATTGTCATCCTAATGACAAAAAGAAGCACAGATAGGATGATTGGAATCTAGGCTGGCACAAGCATAAAGCAAAATCCTAACTTGAAAACAATCAGTACAAGAAGAAACTGGTAGAGTATCTCAAATGGTAGAGGACCTGCTTATCAATTAAATAGCCCAAGTACTAAACACCAATACTTCCCCCTTCCAAAAAATGTTTAAGAGAATTTTTTAAATTTTACTTTCACTTGTTTTTTCCTCTGATGATATCCTTTTGTTTATGGAGACACTTTTTGCAGATGTAATTTTCAGAATTTCTGAGAATTTTTAAAAACATTTTTAAAGAGTTGATCTATTGGAAAATAGTTTCTTAATTTTTATGTGCTACTGTATTCTTTTAAAAATAATCTAAATTTTTCCCCCACATTATAACCCCTGCTTTCACTGTATTTGATGTAGGTATAATTTGTGGAGGGGAAGGGGAAAAACAAGTCATTTAAATAAGGATACAGGTGGACCCGTTGCAACAATGAGAAGTACAAGTTGTCATGTTGAAAATGAACTTTACAACTTTGGTGGGGGGGGGGGGGGGGGGGGGGGAGGCTGGGAAGGGATGAGAAGGGTAAACAAAGGAGGAGGCTACAATGCTTGATAAGAAATGTACTCATTATCCTGCCCATGTAATTGTAACCCCTCTGTACAGTATTTTCACAATAAAAAAATAATCTAAATTTTATGTCACTGTCTATGTTATCCATATTAGCTCACAGTTTGCTGACCTTTTTGTTGAAAAACTATATATACTTTCACACAGTTTTATTTTCAATATTCATGTCATCTTATCATAAACATCTGTTTATTTTCTTATGTAAGTTGAGATTTTCAAAAGTCTTCATACTCTGAGTAAATACTGACTTCAGAATTTTTTCTTTTTCTGATCCTAGTGCTTGAACTCGAGGCCTGGGCACTGTCCTTCAGCTTTTGTGCTCAAGGCTTGAGTCACATCTCCACTTCTAGCTTTTTTTGTAGTTCAGTGGAGATAAGGGTCTCAAGAATTCCCTCCCCTAGCAGGTTTCGAACCCTGATACTCAGATCTCAGCTTCCTGAGTAGCTAGTTTTACAAGTATGAGCCACCGGGGCCTGGCTTCCCAGGCATATTTAGTATTTTGTTTTTAGGTTGAGGGTCTTGTTTAAATTTTATGGGAATGTTGTTTTTTAATCTCAGAAGGCAATCAACCTAGTCAGAATCAGATTCAGGCCATGTTTTTCAACTTGTTTTCCATGGGATATGGTTTAGTGTTGGTTCAGTTTGGCAGTGCTCTTGAGATTTCGCCTGTATGTGCAACATTGACTAATACCTAGCAATGGTTTATCCATTAGTTCAGTTATCAAAAGCCTTTGATATGCAAATTAGGATTAACTCTATGGTTGCTCACATTGTGGCATGATTCCAGGACTTAATAATCAACTTTATGATGTCACTTTTATGAGCTACTTTTTATTTGATCTTCGTAGCTCCTAGCCCCTTTGAGGTTCTCTTCAATCTATTGGTCAGTTCCCATCCATATTTAGAGTTGCACTGTAACTAGTGTAAAACAGTGGAAAGACAAAGCTAGAGGGAAAAGAGCAAGACATAATTTTACCCAGTTTTAAAAATATTGTAGCACTGAAATAAGTCTTCCCTCCCTCAAAGGATGTGTCCAGTAGTTTTTTCTTGCTTCTTCCAGACTCTTCTTTGTCTTGAACTTTTGACAATTATAACATGTTTCCTCTGGATTTTTAAAATTTGAATGTCTATTTCTTTATCTAGATTTGGGAAGCTTTCAGCCAATTTTTTTCAGGTTATGAGTGCAGTGCTTCTTTACCAATGTCATTCCTTCCATCATTCTCTCCCAATTTATTCCTCCCCCATCCCTACCTTCAAGTTACATAGTTCAGTTTTTATATAATATACATAGAACATATTGACTGCATTTGCTCATCTATACTCCCTCCATTTGCATGATGCTCTTAGGCTCCCCCAAAAACATGTTTTCACTTCCCGGTATTCATTTAGTTCTTTAGTTTTTCAGAGGAGTTACACCTTTTGACTCTTCCCCTAAATATCCTATCCTATCCTATATACTATCCTTTAGTTTGTTTGTGTGTGTATGCATAGAGCCCTGTATATGTTATTATGCATGCTTGTATTTTAGACCTAGCTTCCACATATGACAAAAAACATGTGCCACTTGTCTCTTTGTGCCCAACTTCAGTTAACATAATTTTTTCTGTATCCATTCATTTCCCTGAAAATGACATTATTTCAGAGAGATGGGTAAAATTCCATTGTATAACATGTACCATGTTTTCTTGGTTCACTCATCTGCTGTAGAGCATCTGGGGTGTTTCCACAACTTGCCTATTGTGAAAAGTACAGCTGTGAACATGGATGTGCAAGTGTCAGGGCCAGGGCTTTATTGTGACAACAGCTCTGGGAGGCATGCATTGATACCAGCTAAGAGGAGATGCAGAATGACATATGAGATTCAGGTTGCTGTTACAGCTGGAGTCCATCTTACCAAAGGCTGCCAAAGGTCCTCTGCTGTGAAGGTTGCAGTGTTCCTCACTGACAAAGGCTTTCCTCCCATTTTGGAACTCACAACGGAGGGCATGCCTTTAGTTACTGAGCTGACCTGGTTTGTAGGGCAGGATAACGCAAGTAAAATGAAATTCTTTCTTACACATTTTTCTATACAGTTATCCTCACTGGGTAACCTCAGTGGTTTTCTGGACTGTTGAACTCTCTTGGCGCCTTTTCTAGTCTATTGGTAGTTGTTAAATCATTGCTTTAAAGGAGAAATGAGGGCTGAGATCCCCTAGTCATCCATCTTGCTTTCAACCTCCATGTTTTTGCATGTTACTGTCACTTCTGAGCAGTTCTTTCCTTTCTGGTACAATAAACTATTCCAGACCCATTTTGTCCTTTCCCTTTGGAGTCTATGATATTAACTCTTTCCCCTAGGAAACATCACTCCTTTAATGTAATGGAATTCATTGTTCAGTTGTAGAATCCAAAGTCTAGGCACAAGGTATATGCTTACTGTATTTAGGGTGTCACTGCTCTCAGGCCTGCCCTCTCAGTGGGAAGAGCATATACATGTTTATACACTCACACATTTCCATTGCATTTTAAAAATATCTGTTATCCATCAGTCTGTCTAATACACTGAAAATGATTGTCATATTGTGACGCTGGAGATTGATCTCATAGTGTTATATGTGCTAAACATATGCTTTATCATTGAGCTACCCCTATGGCTCTGGTACTGCAAATTATGATATCTGCTATTTCAGTTCGGCAATAAAATGTTCATTATTGTTTTCTCTCTTCCCAAAACATTTTGAATGCTCTTGTTTCATGACAAAAACCTGCCTTCAATTAGTCTTAATATATTTGTTTATATACTGCTGGATATTAGCAGTCTCCCATTTCCTTTGCCACCCTCTGTACTTTAAGGATGTCTCTTTCCTACTCATTTTCTTTCCTTTTTTTTGTGCCACAACTTAGGCTTTAGCTTAGGGCCTGGGCACTGTCCCTTAGCAGTTTTGCACAAGGTTGGCACTCAACCATTTGAATCCAAGCTTCATTTCTAATTTTTTTTTTGGTGGTTAGCTGTAGATAAGAGTATTGTGGACTTTACCAAGCTGGCTTTGAACCACAATCCTCATATCTCAGCCTCCTGACTAGTTAGGATTACAGGTATGAGTTACCAGCACTCAGCAGTTCTTTTTTTTTTAATAAGTGTGTATTAATTGTACAATGGGATTTCACTGTAATATTTTCATATGTGCATATAATGTACTTTGATCAAGTTTATCCATTCTATTTTCTTATACCCCTTTTAAAGAATTTTAAAAATC